CCCCCCGCCCCGCCCCAACCCGGACCCCAACCCCCTCTTTGTCCTGGCTCAATGTCGCGAGGAGCCCCTGTCGCCCCGGGTCGCGCCAGTCCCCGGGCACCGCGAGTCGCCCCGGCCGCCATGGCCGGGTCGATCGATCGACTGCCGGCGGCCCTGCTGCCGGCTTTGGGAGAACGTGGGCTTTCGCTTGGGCCGCCCCACCTGGCGGCCGGGCGCCTGCGCGTGGTCCTGGCCGCCTCGACGCTCGTGGCCGCGCCGGCCCTCGCCGCAGTCGGGGTGTCACTGGTGCAGAGCGGCCCCGGCACTGGTGCTTCGCGATATCCGGTCCGGCGCCCGGTCGGCTATGACTCGCTGATCGGGGCCGGGCCGCCGCGTGGCCGGTTCCCCGCCCCGGCCACCCATGGCCGGCGCCCGGGGGCCTTTTACTCCACCTCGGCCACGGACACCCCGCATCCGCCGCCCCTGCCTCCGAGCGACCATACGGCCGCCGCTGCCGCCGCCACCGCCACCACCACCACCACCGCTGCCTCATCCGACCCCCCGACGGCCACCCCCTCGACCGAGCCGGAGGAGGATCGCACTCGGGCCGCAAGCCGGCCGAGCCGGTCCCCTCGGCGCTCGGTCCGGGTTCTGCCCTTCCGGCAGGATGACCCGAACCCGGAACTGCTTCCCTTCGAGGCGCCGGACATCCATCCGCAATTTGCCGCCCTCCAGGCCGAGTTCATGGGGCATCCACGCACGGCGCCCACGGCCGCGGTCCTGGCCGAGGCGGCCAATGCCCCGGCTCCCGCTCCCGGCCCGGCCGGCGTGCGCATGGTTTCCCCCACCACCATGCCCCGGCAGGCCCGGCGCGATGAGCACCTCCTGACCGGGGTCCTCGGGCGCATCGCCGCCACCAATCCCCTTTTACAATCGCTGAAGCCGTCCAGACCGGGCCCCGGCCCCGGTCCCGGCCCGGCCTCGGTGCCGGTTTTCATGCCCGCCCCGCCGGCCAATCCCACCGGCCCGGATCCCCTGGGAGCCGAGGCCCTCGCCAAGCTGACCGCCAATCCCACCTCCAGCACCCTGTCGCAGCTGGTGTCGCTCCTGCAGCCGGCCGCCGCTGGTTCTTCCACCCCCGGGCCCCACGACGCCCGGCAGACGCTCCTCTACCTGGACGCCTTGATGGGGCTGCTGGCCACCAATGTCACCGGGGCCGAGTACCTTCGCCGGTCGCGGGCGCAATTGTGTGTCTTTTGCGGCGCCCCGCCGCACGGGGCAACCATCTGCCCGGTGGTTGACTGGTGGTGCCTGCGTGGCTACCGCGCGCAAACCGGCCACGATGTCAGTGCCCCGGTGGACCGGTTTCCCCGCTGCCCCGACTGCCATGGCCATCCCCATGGGCTAGCCTGCCCATTGAAGCTTGCCCGCGGGCTGGATCTGGCCGGCGGGTCGTATGTTCCTTCCACTGGCCCGGCTCTGGGCTGGCCGGACCTTGGCTCGGTCAAGGCCGACCTGCAGGATGCCCGCCAACGCGAGGCCATCGGCACGGCCGCCGCCCTGACCCCCAGTGGGCATCTCCCCTCGGTGGAGGTGTCGCTCGCCGTGGCGGCCAAGGCCCTGACGAACTTGATGGTGGCGGCCATTGGCCAGAGATCGGAAGAGCGTCGTGGCGGGTCGTATGTTCCTTCCACTGGCCCGGCTCTGGGCTGGCCGGACCTTGGCTCGGTCAAGGCCGACCTGCAGGATGCCCGCCAACGCGAGGCCATCGGCACGGCCGCCGCCCTGACCCCCAGTGGGCATCTCCCCTCGGTGGAGGTGTCGCTCGCCGTGGCGGCCAAGGCCCTGACGAACTTGATGGTGGCGGCCATTGGCCAGACGACCCCGCCGGCTCGGCCCCTGCCGCCAGGGCACGCGGCCGCCTGGTCTCCGATCCTGTCGGAGATCGCCTCCAATGCCGATGGCAATCCGCCCCACGCCGCCCACCATGACCATGCCCAGTGCAATCACCCGGAGGCTGGGGACGATGGCCAGCACCGGCATGCGCACCAGCATCCCCCCTCGGGGGATTCTCCCCTGCCGGCGGTCGCCGAACCGGATGTCCTCCAATCGGTGGAGGCCCTGGTTAATCTCTTCCGCCAGACCGTGGACGAGCAACTTCCCAAGCTCCCCCGCCAGAGCACCTCCATCCTGGCTGCGGTGAATCTCTTCAGCTCGGTGGCCTCCCTGCTGCAAGAGCGCTCGACCGTCCTGCCGGACCAGTCTTCGGCCACCTTGCGTCATGAGGTGACCCTGCGCGAAATCATGGTCCCCTGCGGTGTGTGCGGCCTGCACGAGGCCGATGAGCTGTGCATGGTTCTCCTGCGCCTGGGCTACCACTATGCCGGTGGCCGTTACCACCTGAGTGAAGCCACCAAGACCATGCGCCTGCGGTCGGGGCTTTGCGCCGCCTGTGGCCAGCACCCGGCCACCGAGCCCTGTCCGCAGCCCTGGGTCCAGCGCATGTCGCTCGGTCGCCGGGGCGAGCTGCTTCCCCTCGGCAAGGCGCTGGCCCATCCGGTGTCCGATGATTGGACCGAGGAGCAGGCGGACCTATGCCGGTATTGCGGCGAGCATCCCCTCACCCAGGCGTGTCCCCTGCTGCTGGCCACCGGCAAGCTGACTTTCAATTCCCTGGGCCGGTACCAGGTCACCCAGGAGGAATATGAACGCCGGCGCGAGCACCGGCTGTGTCGGTTCTGTGGCCTGCACCCGGCGTCGGAGCCCTGCTCCGGCATCATCCGCAAGGGTGGCTTCGATTTCCTCCTCGGCCATCACCGGGTATCGCTGGCCCTGGCCAATGAGCGTCGGCGCCTGCGCCTGTGCCCGTATTGTGGGCTCCATGAAATCTCCTCCGACCCTTGTCCCTACCTGGCCCACCGGGGCATCTTGTGGGACCCGGTCGAGCGCAAGCACGTTCCCTCGCACGACGAGCGCAGTCGCCGCGAAAGCCTCGGCCTCTGTCTGTACTGCGGCATGCATCCGGCCACCCAGGTGTGCGTGGCTCTGGCGCGCAAGCAGCGCATCGACGAGATGGATTCCACCATTCTCTCGCCGAATCTCTCGCGCATCGTCCGCCAAAGCCTCGAGGCCCAGACCGCCGCCTCCAAGCGCATGGCTCAGGATGCCTATCTGCGCGCGGCGGCCGACATGGCGGCCCAGGCTCTCAGCCGCAGCGAGGGCATCCGCATGCGTAGCTCCCTCTCCTCGGGCAGCTCCTTCTCCCGGGCTGACAGCCCGACCGAGGCCCCGGCGAACGCCAATGCCCCCAAGAGCCCGTTCCTCATTCCGAACTTCAGTCAGGACCCGAGCGCGAGGCCGACTTCCGGCGCCTCGAGCGTGTCCCCCCCATCGCAGCCGAAGACCTCCCGTCACTGGCTCCAACAGAATACTCGCTTCACTGCGCATGCTGCTCAAGTGGACCAGCCTGACGCCTCCGCCCCGCAGGAAGGCAGTGCATCTGACGTGGCGGCCTCCATGCACTCGACGTTGCCCAACTTCTCCGACTCGGCTCGGGAGCCCGAGGGCGAGGAGCAGCAGCAGCAGCAGCAGCAGCAGCATCCCGATGCCTCGCCTCCTCAGGCTGCTTCCTTCCCGCAAGAAACGCCGGCCGAGACGGGCGCGGCTTCTGGCGACGGGCCGGCCAAGACCCCGCCGGGTCCGCCTTCCTCTTAAGAGTGCTCCCGGCGTTGCCTCCACGCTCCCGCCGGTGCCCGGCAGGGCTCCTCCTTTCCCCCTCCTGTCTCTTTTTCCCTCCCGTACACACCCGCCCACCCACCCACCCACACATTACAGCGTCATGCCGGCGGCTGGGCCTCTCGGCAAGCAAGTAGAGCTGCCCGCAGGCCTGCCCGCCCCTCTTCCCTGCGCTAGACCTTTCCTCATCACCCTCCCACATCTGTCCTTGTTGCCAAAAAAAAAACGATCCCCTTTCCCGGACTGCGGTCGGCCGGCTCTCCTCTTCCTCCCCCGGTGTGCCGTATCTCCTCCCCTAAATATATGCGTCCGCATTTTGACCCCCCCCCCCCCCCCCCGCGTGTGTCTGTCTCCTTCCTGGGTCCCCCCGCCTTGCCTCCTTCGCGGCTGGGGCTGCTCTCTCTCTCTCTCTCTCCCTCTTCCTCTCCCTCCGCCTCTCTCTTCTCGTGCCATGTTTTGGACCAATCATGGAGCACCCGATGCTGCCAACGAACATCACATGACCGACAGGCTAACGTCTAAGGATTGAGGGTGTCAAATGGTTCTGCCTGGCGCGGCGGCTTGTCTTCCTTCTTCGGTGACTCCTCATCCGCGCCCGCCGCCCCCTCCCTCGGCTCGCCCCACATGCGCCCACCGGCGCTCGTCTCGCGTGCCGGCTGCGCAGCAAAGTTGCTCGGGTGCGTGCGCGCCCACATGCAAACGACTGGGCGCGTTCGGCAGTGCAACGGACATCCCAGCTGTGGGAGTGCGGGGGCCGAGGACAAATTAACACTTGCTCAACAAAAATGGGCCTGGCCTTGAGCAATCGGCCAGGCAACAAGATGGTGCTCCCTGGCCGACGCGCCGACCCCAGCGGCGAGCGTCGACTGGGGGCCAAAGCCCTCCCGGTCCCTGCGCTTGAACTTGGTTGTCGGAGTGGCGGGGGGGGGGGGGGGGGGGGGGGGGGAAAAAAAAAAAACACCGGGCAAGAGCCTCCGCTGCAAAAACCA